GCTGGGCTGAGCAGTCTCCGCAGGCTTCGGAAGAAACAAAAGGGGTTTAGGGTTTAGGGTTTAGGGTTTAGGGTTTAGGGTTTAGGGTTCAGGGTTTAGGGTTTAGGGTTTAGGGTTTAGGGTCTTGTAGCTCTTGATTCTGACCGCAACCCACAGTCAGTTAGCGGACCCGACTCTGGCATGCCTGGATTTTGTTGCAGACGCCCCTCACTTGGAGCTTCATGGGTATTTGGAAGTGGGGCTTCGGGATATACTATGTAGAAGTCCTTACTAGGGACTATATAATCCCTATGAAGGACTGCTAGTATAAGGGGGAACATTTGAAGGTATTTGGAAGCAGGGTTCGTAAACCACTGATTGCTTAAGACCCCCGATTCTTCCTTCTGAGGGCTCTGGAGGTAGGGATTATTCTCTTCCATTTTTTGGGTGCTCTCTCTTTAGCAAATAGCAGCAAAACAGCGGCAAGGTTATAACCAGTTATAGCTATGGTTACCCTACTTATATCCCCCTTGGTAACCCACCTTCTTGGGGTTCAAGGTTCCCTGAAAAAGTAACCAACCAAAAGAGGTCTCATATGGCTACGGGGCTACCAAGACCCTGCTTCTCAGTACACATCCCTAAACCCTAAACCCTAAACCCTAAACCCTAAACCCCAAACCCTAAACCCCAAACCCTAAACCCCAAACATGGACCTCCAAGTTCAGGAGAGAAGCCCCGCACCGTGACCTTCAACCGGTCAGTCCCGTAGCCGAGATCTATGACAGCGCCACCCAGATTCATTCCAAGCTGGGGGGGGGGGGGGTTTCGGGTTTAGGGTTTCGGGTTTAGGGTTTAGGGTTAGGGTTTAGGGTTTAGGGTTTAGCGTTTAGGGGTTCTTCTGAACCCTAAACCCGAATTCCCGGCACTTGTGGTTAACGACTGTAGAATCCCTGAGAAGCATGGTCTTGGGCAAGCTGCTTAGTGATTCTCGTGTGGAGTATATACTCTCGATCTCTCTCTCTCTCTCTCGCTCTCTCTCTCGCTCTCTTTCTCTCTCTCTCTCTCTATATCTTTATATATATATATATATATGTATATATCTATTTGCGCAAAAGCAATATACAGATTCAATATATGGCGCTGAAGGGGATTACAATGGGATCTTGCATCGGAATCTTCTTTGGAGAATGCTGACCACATCCTCCCTGGCCCTCTGCCCATCACCCTGTTCACGGCTCCAGCTGTTTATAAAATAGGGGTCGGAATAATTACTAATAGCATTCCCTTTAGAGGTCCCCATATAATTTGCACTCTTAACCCCAAAAACCTTATTCTAATTATTAAGGACCCCTGAATTGCTAAGATTTGGTTGGAGGACTTCCGACCCCTGACGGGGCATTGCGTGCGTCTCCGGATTTCCCGGGGTTCAGAAGGGCTTGGGACTTAGGATTTAGGGCTTTTGGGCTCTCCAACCTGTCTAGCTGACAAAGCCTCAAGGCCCAAATGCCACAGTCCTCCTCTTCAAAGCGGTTCCGAACACCTCAACCTAGGGTTTAGGGTTTAGGGTTTAGGGTTTAGGGTTTAGGGTTTAGGGTTTAGGGTTTAGGGTTTAGGGTTTAGGGTTTAGGGCTCTCCAACCTCTGCACAAGCAGCAGGAATTGGAGCAGAATGCCTAGTTCGAATACCAAAGGTGCCCCCAAGCCCTGTCGCCCTGCTTGAAACCTGACCATAAACCCTAGTTGGAGGTTCATGGAAGGGTTTAGGGTTTAGGGTTTAGGGTTTAGGGTTTAGGGTTTAGGGTTTAGGATTTAGAGAGAGAGGATGACGATGGTATATCCTTGCTTAGGGCACCTGTAGCTTGTAGCCGAACTTGTATCCCTACTTATGAACCTTCAAGTGTGATGCCATCAACCTACGCATAGCCTGCTCAAAGCCCCAACTCCTTTCCCTAAACTCCGAAACCTGCTAAACCCTAAGCCCTAAACCCTAAACCCTAAACCCTAAACCCTAAACCCTAAACCCTGAACCCTAATTCCTAAACCCTTTAGGCGACTTCCACTGTTTTCGATGGGACGATCTCAGCCGGCTTTGGCCGACGACTTGTGGCGCAGGCTGAGGCTGCGACCAGCCGCACCTCGACTGGCTTTAGGGTTTGGGGATTAGGGTTTAGGGTTTGGGGTTTAGGGTTTAGGGTTTAGGGTTTAGGGTTTGGGGTTTAGGGTTTAGGGTTTAGGGTTTAGGTTTCCGAAGAATGACCCAATAGTAGTTTAGGGTTTAGGGTTTAGGACCTAAGCTGCCTAAACCCCGAAACCCGAAAGCCCATGCTTCTCAGCCCCACACCTGGGAGGATCCACAAAATCGAACCCCCAACTCGCACCCTTTTCTCCTATTGGGTCATTCTTTGGAACCCTAAGAGCTAAACCCTAAACCCTAAACCCTAAACCCTAAACCTAAACCCTAAACCCTAAACCCTAAACCCTAAACCCTAAACCCATACAAGTACCCATAAACCTCCAACTATTGGGATCCCGTGCCGCCCTGCTTAGGTCCCCTATGTAAGCCCCCCAACCACCCTAAATGTCCTGTAAGGCGTCTGTACAACCCCTAAGCCCTAAACCCTAAAATCCTAGGTAGGGGTACCCCTAAACCCTAAACCCTAAACCCTAAACCCCAAACCCCAAACCCCAAACCCTAAACCCTAAACCTTAGGGCATCAGGTGCTGTTGTGGGGCGGGGGGGGGGGGGGTGGGCGAGGCACGGCTGCAGACGTGCTGTCAGCCAGCCCTCGCTCAACTGCGTCACTGGAGGCTGGCTTGTTTGTAGGGTTTAGGGTTTAGGGTTTAGGGTTTAGGGTTTAGGGTTTAGGGTTTAGAAAAAAAGACCTCTCACGATCTCTCGAGAAACAGAAACTCACAAGAAGTTGTGGGAAGGATGAGGGCAAGTTTGGGTACACAGCGCCATCCAAAGAATGTAGCCTTCGTGTGATGGATGCGTGCCCGACAGGGTGTCTATATCGAAGACAGGGTGTCTATATCGAACGCCCAAATATTCCCGACAGTTGGACGTCATAAAAGTACCCAGACGCTTAATGCGGTGCAGAGGTTTAATCTGGAGTCTATCAGTTTAACCCTAAACCCTAAACCCTAAACCCTAAACCCTAAACCCTAAACCCTAAACCCTAAACCCTAAACCCTAAACCCTAAACCCTAAACCGGTTCCTGGGAAGCACCGACATGAGCTGTGGCCGGAAGCGTCGGATAGCTGGATTCCTGCAAATATTTATTCGGTCAAAGGTTGAGTAGGGTAGGAACCGGTCTAGGGTTTAGGGTTTAGGGTTTAGGGTTTAGGGTTTAGGGTTTAGGGTTTAGGGTTTAGGGTTTCTTTCACACAAAGGTCCGTCTTGGGCTGACTTATGGGGATGCCAGCGCTACCAGTTTCTGAGTTCGGTGGGGATGAATTTAGAGTTGCAGCTGGGAACTCACATAGACCCAAAATTGTGAAAGGGTTTAAGGTTTAGGGTTCTGAGGGGTCTGCTTGGCGGGTGGCAAAAGATGCTGCGGCCCTTAAGTGCCAGGAGGACAACGACACCGATCCTGCGTCTGCCAGACTGCGATTGCGGTCATATACAGCAGAGGACCCGCGGTTTTGGGAAACGTGAGCACAAGTATCCCTAAACCCTAAACCCTATATACACCCTCAACCCTAAACCCTAAATCCTACTTAACCTTCAAGTAGCCCCTCATGAATGCATTGAAGGGGGGAAAGTGTGGTGATGGGGGTTGGCAAAGCTCAGGCCAAGACCTCATTGGGCGCAGGGTTTAGTGTCTAGGGTCTAGGGTTTAGGGTTTAGGGTTTCGGGTTTAGGGTTCAGGGTTTAGGGTTTAGGGTTTTCTGTCACCTGTTGAAGAGAAGAGGACCTGGAAAAGAAGCAAGAAGCGGTAACTCGGCTCTGCGGACCTTGTGCTTCCTCCATTGCCCCATGGTAGATTTCCTAAGTTCTAAATCGGGTTTGCAGTTTTGGGTTCAGGGTTTTGGGATCACGGTTTAGGGGCCTTTTTTTGGGTACCTGTGCCATCACAAACATCACACAGTCAGAACAAAAGAGGCGTAAGATATTTCCCCCAGCAGGCTACGGAGTCTTTCACATGCATTGGTTGTGGTCTAGTTTCAGGATTTCTTCTAAGGTATTAGTGTAGCTTGAGGCAAGAACCTCAGGTAATTTCAGATTTAGGAAGGAAGGAAGGAAGGAAGGAAGGAAGGAAGGAAGACCGGCACGCGAGGGTACTCGCTGCCATACAACCACGTCCCCCTCCGCATCTCAGGCGCGCTCCGAAAACGTCACGGCACACCTCCGCGGAGGGTTCAAGTGGAGGAACTAGCTGGTTGCAGCCAAGAGACGTTTGCCCCAACCACGAACCCGGCAAACCAAACCGCAAAGGCGCCCCCCACAACCGCCCACGCCCACACGCACACACTCACACACACAAGAAGGAGCGACGGATAAGTGCCCGAGTGACCGCCGGCAACTGGCAGGCCTGGGAATAGCCACCAGAACGCCGCCACTGAGACCGATAGCTGCCCAAGAAGACCCCAAAGAAAACAAACCCAAGAGGGTAGCCCGTATGGCAGGCAAAGCTGGGAGGAGCCGGGCCTGCGCGCAACCAACAACTTGAACTTCATTGCGTTGTGTGGGCAGGGCACAGCGGTACGCAGACTGGGGTGGCTACGGACGTGGACCCCGCCAAGCCAACCTGAACAAAGGCAATGCGGGAGAACTGACAAGGTTTACCGGCAACCGGGAGGGTAACATTATATTGAGCAGGTGCACGCAGTTGGTGGAGGCGCCAAGCAGGGGGGCTAGCGGCTAGCGAGGCACTCCCAGGAGCCAGGAGCGCGTCAGAGCGGCATGGAGACGGCGGAGGTGACACACCAACGGGAGGCAAGCTCAGACTAACTGGGCCTGCAATGAGATGTGACGGTTTCGAACACATGGAACAGTGCATGCGAACAAACGCTAAAAAATGCCACTCCCCAAGCTTGCGGAAGCGCAGCGCAACAACCAGGGAGAGCAACTCAGCAGTGTGAAGCGAGACGGAAGACGGCCAGAGATTTGGACCGAGACCCAAGACGCGGAACCCCCGGCGCCGGGACACATGCAGGGCCGAGTCAGCTCTCGCTGACCCCAAGGAAAGCAACGGAGGCCAGGGAACAGCGGTTAAGGACACAGAGACACGGGAACCAACGAAGACACTTGCCAGAGCTGGACTTCAAGGAGGACCACCGGAAACCAGGAAACAGCGGCACCCAGTGCAAAAGCCACCAGGGACGTGGCAGGTGCGGATGCTGATCCCAAGGAGGGCACCGGAAGTCAGGGAACTCAAGCTCTGCAAGCCATGCTAAAGACCCAAGCCCAGGGTAACGGCCATCAGGAGAACAGGGGGAAATCAGGTTGAGGAGACAGCAACAGAAGCACTGCCTTGGAACAAGCCCAGACCTAGGGTAACGAGCCCGAAAAGGGGGTTAGGGGCCGGGACACACGCAGGGCCGAGCCAGCTCTTGCTGGAGTACACCCCAAGAGGGCCTGTCGCCAGCAAAGGCCCCAAGACACAGGCAGCCAGCGAAGGCAAAGGCCAAAGCTGAACCCAAGGAAGACCGCCGGAAGCCAGGATGCAGCAGCGCCAGGTGAGAGGCCAGCGGGGGTGTGGCCGGCACAAACGCGACAGAGACACGGGAACCAACGAAGACACTTGCCAGAGCTGGACCCCAAGGAGGACCACCGGAAACCAGGAAACAGCGGCACCCAGTGCAAAAGCCACCAGGGACGTGGCAGGTGCGGATGCTGATCCCAAGGAGGGCACCGGAAGTCAGGGAACTCAAGCTCTGCAAGCCATGCTAAAGACCCAAGCCCAGGGTAACGGCCATCAGGAGAACAGGGGGAAATCAGGTTGAGGAGACAGCAACAGAAGCACTGCCTTGGAACAAGCCCAGACCTAGGGTAACGAGCCCGAAAAGGGGGTTAGGGGCCGGGACACACGCAGGGCCGAGCCAGCTCTTGCTGGAGTACACCCCAAGAGGGCCTGTCGCCAGCAAAGGTCCCAAGACACAGGCAGCCAGCGAAGGCAAAGGCCAAAGCTGAACCCAAGGAAGACCACCGGAAGCCAGGATGCAGCAGCGCCAGGTGAGAGGCCAGTGGGGGTGTGGCCGGCACAAACGCGGAAGGCAACGGAGGCCAGGGAACAGCGGTGACACAGAGACACGGGAACCAACGAAGACACTTGCCAGAGCTGGACCCCAAGGAGGACCACCGGAAACCAGGAAACAGCGGCACCCAGTGCAAAAGCCACCAGGGACGTGGCAGGTGCGGATGCTGATCCTAAGGAGGGCCCCGGAAGTCAGGGAACTCAAGCTCTGCAAGCCATGCTAAAGACCCAAGCCCAGGGTAACGGCCGAACAAGGAGAATGGGGGGATATCAGGCCCCAGGAGGGGGTTTGGGGCACTTTAGTCCCCAATGACAGCAACAAAGCAATGCAAATCTGGAACGTGCTCAACCCAGGGATACAAGCCCGAAGAGGGAGTGTGGGGCACTTCAGGCCCAGAAAACGGCAACTTGGAACTCCCGGCTGACGAGCCCTAAAAGGGGGATGGGGCACTTCAGGCCCCAGAAGCCAGCAACAGAAGCGCTGCAAGAAGGAACAAGCCCAGACCCAGGGTTTCGAGCCCGAAAAGGGCGAATGGGGCACATGAGGCCCAACAGAAGCACTTGGATCAAGCCCAAACTCAGCATAACGAGCCCGAAAAGGCACAACGGCCCAAGGAGCGAACACCAACAAGGGGTAAGGAGCGAACGCGGAGCAACAAGAAGGGACGAAGGACGAAGAAGGGGCAAAGCGACACACCACGCAGGCCAGAGAGCAGCAAGGCAAGAGGAGGCGAAAAGCGCAGCCACGAGTGCCATGCAAGGCAGATGCAAGAAACAAAACAATGGCAAGTTGACCCAGACAAGGCCACGGGGCAAACCGCGAGGCGCAGACAGGGAAAAGGGGGAGTGGCACTGTCACTTACGCGCTGCGGTGGAAGGGCGGGTGCAGGGTGCTCATCCAGGGTTAAACCCTGTTAGTGCCGCCTCCGGGGTCCCTGTACCGAGAGAAGGCCCCCCCACCGAACAGCGGCGTAACCCGGAGGAATTTCAGATTTAGATTCCCGCCATGACTTCCTGGGAAGATGTCGAACCGGTTCTGACTTGCAGGTATGGTAGGGCCGTATTGTTGGTGGAAAATCCCCCCTGCCCCCTCCCCCCCCAAAAAAAACAAAACAAAAATATATAAAATAATAATAATCATCATAATAGAGTGGAAAACCATTTGATTACTATTCCCCCTCCAAAAATACTTACAATAACAATAATAATCATTGTCATAATAAATGGCATGGGAAACCATGTAGGTTGCGTGAACCAACAATTCACGCGCCCCAAGAAGTGACTCTCAGACAGAGAGCCTTGAAGAGAGTCAAGTCAGCAGCCTTGGGCCCCTTTTTTTGGGGGCTTAGGGTTTAGGGTTTAGGGTTTAGGGCTAGACCCCAGAAACCCTAGACCGGGCTGGCAAGAAAAAACTGTCTCGGGGTGGTTATTACCCAGAGACTCCAATAATATCCCCTAATTAAGGAATATTCTTTCAAGTATAAGAGGGTTCCTTATAATGTTTCAGGAATATTCCTTACTTAAGGGTTATTGAAGTCTTTGGGTACACCCCGTGTTTTCTAGGGTAAGGGGCATTCCCAGAAACTCCAAAACCCCTCAATGAAGGAATATATATTAGGGTTCCGATTAAAATTTAAGGGATATTCCTTAATTAAGGGGTTTTTGGAGTCTCTGGGTTGTAGGTTTCCAAGCACAATTCAGGGGTTACTACCCGAAACCCTAAGAACCCTACACCCTGCGCTGGTACTAGCTATATATTCTGCATAAACCCTATATTCCCTATAAGCTCTATAAACCCCATGCGCACTAAAAACTCTATAAACCCTCTCAAAACTGTATATGCCCTGTGAACCCTGTAAACCCTATGAACTCTATAAACCCCATGAACACGATTATATTAGCGCTTTCCCAACCCTCTGAACTCCATTAAGCCCCATAAACCCTATACCTATATACCCAGGAACCCTATGAACCCTAACCCCAAGCCCTGACCCTATGAACCCTATGAACCCTATGAACCCTATGAACCCTATGAACCCGAAGTTGGTGTGAACGCCCAGGAAGTGGCTGATACCACCTTCGTCAGGCGCATGTTCAGTGCTCACTCTCGATGCTCGGCCGGGCATCTGCGGGGATTAGGGTTTAGGGTGTAGGGTTTAAGGTTGAGGGCTGAGGGTTTAGGGTTTAGGGCTTAGGGAGTATCAAGGGTTTTGCGCCACAAAGGAGAGATTGTAAAGGGTCTGGGGTTTACGGGTTGTCAAGATTATACAACAGTGTTGGGGACTTAGGGGTGGTAAAGTAAGTTGTAATGGGTTTAAGATGTATAGGCTTTGTTCAAAGATCGTCGATTCTCGCACAGGATCCTCCCCATGTCTGTGCGATTGAACTTGCGCAATGCTGCGTGCCTGCCTGCGTGCGTGCGTGCGTGCGTGGGTGGGTGCATGGGTGGGTGGGTGGGTGGGTGGGTGGGTGGGTGGGTGGGTGTGGGTGTGTGTGGGTGTGTGTGTGTGTGTTCTGCGTGTTCCCTAAACCCTAAACCCTAAACCATTATGGTCTAGGGTTTAGGGGTGGTCTATGAGTATATTTCTCTCGTTGGCACAGTGAGATGTGGGCAGCCGGCTGGCTAGCCGACTTGAAGGTGCATGCGAACTTACAAGTACCGGGGGGGGGGGGTCTATTTACCTACAGTTTTTAGTAGGAACTACCCCTTAGAAAGTAGGCAGAACCCATAAAAGCTGTAGGTAAATAGGGTCCCAGGTATGGTGATAAGTACCCCTAAATAGGTTGCAACCCATAGCTGCCCCACATACATCCCGACTTATAAGTACCCATGGACCTCCACGGATAGTCCCTTGGCACTGTTGGTCCCAAACCTCGATGAATTTTCTTGCAAGGCCAGGGTTGGACCACCAAACCACACAAACACTGCAGAAGAGGAAGCAAGGGTTCCGGAATCCTGTTTAAGGGTTTAGGGTTTAGGGTTAGGGTTTAGGGTTTAGGGTTTAGGGTTTAGGGTTTAGGGTTTAGGGTTTAGGGTTTAGGGTTTAGGGTTTAGGGTTTAGGGTTTAGGGTTTAGGGCTTGGACACATGGGGCACACAGGGGCAGATGTTTTTGCAAACCCGATTAGCCCTCAACCTACACACCTCTCACCGTCGGGCCGGTTGTGTTTTTTTCCCAGCGCGGCGCCAGCTCTTGAATGTCAAATGTCGTATACACCCGGGCTAAGGGTTTAGGGTTTAGGGTTTGGGGTTTAGGGTTTAGGGCAACGGTGTGCACGATCTAAGCTCCAAGTTCCCCTTTTAACTCCATCTTCCACGTCTCCACGAGGGACAGCCCTAAATCCTGAACCGCAAGCCCTAAACCCTAAACCCTAAACCCTAAACCCTAAACCCTAAACCCTAAACCCTAAACCCTAAACCCTAAACCCTAAACCCTAAACCCTAAACCCTACACCCTACACCCTAAACCAAACCCGAAGCCGCAAGGACAACAGTCAAAGGTTGAGAAGATGAAGGCCGCAGGCCTCGTCGGACGAATCGTCAAGCATCCCGGTCACCCGCCTGGCACTCTCAGGGCTCATACTTGGATGTTCAAAAGGGCACTTAGAGAGGGTTTAGGGTTTAGGGTTTAGGCTTTAGGGTTTAGGGTTTAGGGTTTAGGGTTCAGGGGTACTTATAAGCAGGGTTTTTCAAGTAGGGTAGCTCGGGTTACAACGTAAGTAATGTACCCATGAACCTTCAAGTAGGGTTCAGGTTTTTTGGGGGATGCTGCGCATTGCATTAAGGGTTCGAACACTGCAGCAAATCTCAGGATCACTCCTTCAGTTACAGGGGCTGTGCGTTGAGGCTGTATTCTGTAGAACGATTGCCGCCACCCGACATCCCAAACCCGAAACCCCAAACACTGAACCTTGTAAACCTGAAACCTGTAGGTATAAGCGTAACCAGCGTTCGTATAGTGGTATTCCGCCGCCTCACTTTCTACAGACATACATACATTCATACATATCTATATCTATATATATATATATATATAGATATAGATATAGATATAGATATGCATGCATGGCCAAAACTCTCCACAAAACCGCCCACGAGGTCCCTTTTTTGACCTGAAGCCTCGAGAGATGCCCTGCTTCAGTTTTCCCTAAGGGTCCATGTACCTCATGATTATGTACTTGGGTCCTAAAACCCCTAAATAGGAGGTACTTTAAGGCCCAAGTATTCCACATTTATGTACATGGACCCTTAGGGTTTAACCGCTCGCCTTGGAATATCGCTGAGGTTTCGACTTGTTCTTTGCCGCCGTGGTGATCACGAACGCAATCTTCATCGGTGTGGACGTCCAGCAGGCCACTTCGGCATATGGTCAGGAGGCAACTGCGGCATACAGCAGACCTGCGATCTACATGATTCTTTGGGATACTTAGGAAGATTTTCAATTTTTTGTTGTACTATATTTCCTAAGAAACAGTTAAACCCTAAACCCTAAAACCCTAAAACCCTAATCCCTAAACCCTAAACGCTAAACCCTAAACCCTAACCCCTAAACCCTAAACCCTAAACCCTAAACCCCAGGGTTCCCCAAGTTCAGTGGAGGATTGTGGGGTATTTTTACACCGCTCTCTACATCGCCGAGCTTGTGCTGCGACTCTCTGCTTATGGGCTCCGCCTGTTCTGCTCCGAAGATTGGATGTGGGTGCCACTTGAGTGCGATTATTGGGTTTAGGGCTGAGGGTTTAGGCTTTAGGGTTCAGGGTTCAGGGTTAGGGTTTAGTTCAGGGTTTAGGGTTTAGGGTTTAGGGTTCAGGGTTTAGGGTTTAGGGTTTAGGGGGATTTTCCTTGCAGATGTTCCGCGAAATGAACGCTGTTGCTAAAACCTCACGCGTGTTATTTCCAAGCGCAGTGGGTAGCTTTTGGGTGAGGATTCTGTATATAGGGTTTTCTAGGTCATAGTTGGGTAACATTCTACATTTTTAGGGGTACTTAAACCCAATAAGGAATATACATTTAAGTTTTTAATACTAGCCCAACCATGAACTAGTTTTGCCGTTATGTGCAAGTTGTGGGTCAGGCTGTTAGACTGCTTCATCGTGACCACCTCCATATGGGACGTGTTTGTTGATGTCCTGACGGCCATCTTGCCGCCAGATCAGAACGGCTTCGAAAGCGTTTCGGGGCTCTCTACGCTGAAGGCTTTCCGTGTTATACGCGTGACACGCGTGCTCAAGATTGCTCAGCTGTTGAGAATCTTCCGCTTCGTCATGGCCCTTCGGACTCTGGTGCAATCAATATTTCACACTCTGAAAGCATTGGTATGGGCTTTGCTCCTGCTGGCGCTGATTGTGTGCCTTGGACAGAAATGCGTGACCTTTTTGGTTATGTGGAATCCTACTAGACATAAGAGGTTAACTTTTTTTGGGCTAGGGTATTCAGCTCTAATTTTGAACTGGTATGTCAAAGCTTGGCAGGCATGGATTCTGCACACAGTATTGTTGCAATGAAGAACTAGGTAGGCCCTTGGGATATTTCCATGTTACCTCATTGGCAATTACCCTAAACCCTAAACCCTAAACTCTAAACCCTAAACGAGGATCATCTTCAGGAATGCGTTTTCGGAAGGTTTTACGGGCTATCCTAGAGAAGCACTGGATTCCCAGACATGACCCTACCTTAGGGACGAAATGAGCCCTAAAAGGGTTTATGGTTCATAGGCCTTAATAGGAAGTACGGTAGGGTTTAGGGTTTAGGGTTTAGGGTTTAGGGTTTAGGGTTTAGGGTTTAGGGTTTAGGGTGCATATGCCCATATTCCTCAATAGGAAGTAAACAGTAGTCTAGGGTATATGACCCCCAATTTTAGGGTTCATTGAGTCCCAAAAGGTCAGGGTCCATGTACCTCATTATTATGTGGTGAGATTGGTTTTGGTTGATTTTGACTTGTTTTTTTGTTTGAAAAGGGTGATAATCAATTTAATAATACTGACCCCTGAGTCCCTAAAGAGGAGGTACTTAAGGCCCCAAGTATTCCCTATTTAGGTACAAACCCTAAACCCTAAACCCTAAACCCTAAACCCTAAACCCTAAACCCTAAACCCTAGGGTGAGTTATGTAGGTACATGGACCCTTAGGGTGACTTGTTCTGAGTTGGGATGTGCTGAGACGTTTTATACCGTTTGCTTTGCCGGTCCTTGGAACGCACAGCGTGCTGCTGTTCCTTTGCGGTTCAGTCAATCAACTATAGAAGGACAGAAACATGCCAACAATGCCGTCCCCTTTAGTCCTAAATACCCTTTCTAGTTGGAAAGGCCCCTTCGCCAGCCGCACTGATATGAGACCTTCAAGTAGATCGTCTGTAGTCCTTTGGGAATGTGCAGCAAGTGCGGCAATCTGTACCGTTCTTCCCCTTGTTCAGGGCTTCCTGGCTTCTTATGTTTGCCTACTTGAAGATAGGACTTTCAGAACTCGAACAGTGGATGTTGGTGGCACACGCCTGAACTGCTCAATGCATGTTTTGCAGAAGCTCCGGTCGCTCCGTGTAAAGCCTCTTCGGTGTCTTCCAAAGTCTAAACTTATTTTTTGCAAGGTACGTGTTTGCTGTGATCTTCACCCAAGCTGTCAGTGACTATCGGCTAGAAATGGACGCAGACGGACGTACGCTGCCACTCCTGGTTTCGAACGAGGGGCTGCTGTACTTTGGAAGCCTTGATGGCAGTATGCTCAGCCTCTTCATGAGCATTGCCGGCGGTGCCCAGGCAGTCTTTCATTTGGCTTCGTCTTTGCCTTGGCTAGTGGAGAACAAAGCCTCATCAACTGTGAACCCTACTACTAAAGGGGGTCCATGTAACTGCTGGAATGTAGTCCCTTTACAGTGACTTTGGCACCCAAGTAGGCAGGAACATTGGGGTAGTTCAAGATGGTTGAAACTCGAAGGTTTACGGTTTTGGGTTATGGAAGGTCCAGTTGCAAGTTAGGGTTTAGGGTTTAGGTTTTAGGGTTTAGGGTTTAGGGCTTAGGGCTTAGGGCTTAGGGCAATAAGGTGTAAACCGAAGTCTCAAGGGATGCCAAAGCTGGACGACGTGACGAAGGGCACGGCCAGGCTTGAGGGTTTGTTGTGAGAACGTCTTTACTGGGTGGGGGGTGGGTTTAGGGTTTAGGGTTTAGGGTTTAGGGTTTAGGGTTTAGGGTTTAGGGTTTAGGGTTTAGGGTTTAGGGTTTAGGGTTTAGGGTTTAGGTGGGGTGGGGGGAAGGCCTGTGTAAAGGCGAAGGGAATGAGATGGTCGCCATATTGTTTGGGGAATTCCGGTGGGGGCTCCTTCTTGACAAGTTCTTGCAAGCCCTAAACCCTAAACCCTAAACCCTAAACCCCAAACCCTAAACCCCAAAAACCCTCAACCGGCCCACTAAGGTCTCAGTTGGGAAGCCGCTTTCCGACCTCTGTCGAGTGTCTCCTGGTACTGGGGCTGGGCCTTCATCTTCTACGTGTCCTTTACATACTTTGCAGTGCCCCAGGTCGCATTAATCACTCGTGCACTGAGTTCGAGAGGCCTTGGGATGCTCCCCCCCTATGCTAGCAGTCCTCAAAAGGGATGATAGTATCCCTATTATAGTAATCCCATGTATTGGGATGTTCCCCCTTATACATGGGGATTCTAGTATCCCTATTATAATCCCATGTGAGGAATGCGAATATAAGGGGAAGCATCCCAAGGCATTGCATTCTTCATGGAATGGCTTGTCTGGACCCCTGCGGTTCGAGGCTTTGGTTGTATCAGAGGGTTTAGGGTTTAGGGTTTAGGGTTTAGGGTTTAGGGTTTAGGGTTTAGGGTTTAGGGTTTAGGGTTTAGGGTTTAGGGTTTGGGGAAAGCTGAGGTCTTGAATGTCGCAACAGGGCTGCATCGAGAGCCTTCCTTCCTACTGGCACTGCCGCAGGGCCGAGCGCGCAAGACCCTTCAGACTTTCGGGAGACATGAAGTCTGAGAGTTTTCTTTAACGTGCACTATTGCACCGTCATGAATTCAGGTAAAGCCAGTACCCGTGCTTTCTGCGTGGCTGCTCGTTCATGATGCTTGTTGCGCTATTCGTGATGTGTGTGCCTTTGCGTGTGTGTGTGTGTGTGTGTGTGTGTCCAGCCAGCGACACATGGCCCTGTTTTTGCTGATTCCTCTATGGCGAGTGGGCGACTTCGTCCAACATACGGAAAGCCCGACCAGCTCCATTGGGGGTTCGGCTGGGGTTTGTGCGGGCGAAGGGTTGTGCATCCTGCCTTTTCTGGCCCAGATCATACTCGCCCTGCGCCAGGGGTGCCCGGTCCATTTGGGGGCTGCCGGCACCCGAACAAACTTAGTTTAGTTTGCGCTTGCTTGCAGGTAACGGCGGTTTTCTGTCAGTCAGCAATCGAGTCCGCACAGAAAGACCACGCCACCGTTGTCCAGAACATGCTCGACAACAAGGAATCTCACCTGCAGAAGCTTGCCGGCAATCCAGCAAGCTTGTTTTACTGGAAGGACTTTGGATCCCATTGCGCAACCCAATCCGAAATCTTGGCCCTTTCTCTGTTGTTGCTACTCCAACCCAAAAACCGGCCCACACCCTCCTTTTTGGGGCCCGAAGCCCTAAACCCTAAACCCTAAACCCTAAACTCTAAACCCCAGGGTAGCTCTGAGGAAGCTCCGCACGCTCTTCAGTAAGCTGGGGGCCGAAGAAGCTGGCGGCATCACCTTTGGGATGTTCGAGCAGAAGCTTGGTAGCCCAGTGGTACCCTTGTCCTTTTTTTGGGATTGGGGTTTAGGGTTTAGGGTTTAGGGTTCCCTTATAAAGTAACCAACCCCCAAAAAGGGTACCCTTAGTAGAATATGGCTACTGGGCCGCCAAGGAAAATTAATTCCGGCCCCGTGCGCGAGTACTTTGAGACACTTGGGCTGGACGCCCCTCGTCTTTGCATCCTGTCGTGCTTCGAGGTGCCCTAAGCTCGAATTATGTGTGCACGTATGTAGATTATGTATATATCTATATATGCATTAGCCGTAACGAGATGAGGATCTTTGGCTGGAAATTTCGGGCAAGGGGCCTATCGGTTTTTGGGGTTTTGTGAAAGGGTCGCAGTGTTGTAAAGGTTTAGCGGTTGAGGCTTCGCGGCTGTTGGCACTGTAGTGAGCCCCGAATGCTGATGAGTCGGCCTGACGACAATTGGGCATGAGCAACTTTGCCGAACTAGACCACCACCAGCACCACCACCAGCACCAGCACCAGCACCACCACCAGCACCACCACTACATCCGAAACCCTAAGCCCTGAACCCTAAACCCTAAACCCTACACTGCATTTGCTCTCCGAGGTTTGGGACCCCTGGTCGTTCTTCAAGCTTCTGGACTCGGATGGTGGTGGTTTTGTTGAGATCGAGGCGTGCGGGGGTAAATGCTCCGGTGTTTAGTTCCGTGAAGTTCGGCGAATTTTCATATAGCTGCTTCTTTGCACGTACTTGTATTTAGGCAGTTGTGTCTTTCTCAGCATTCTCAAGCTTTGAATGCGCGAAATCAGAAACCCTAGCTCCCACACAGATGTTGAGGACCAGTCTGACTCCAGGACACGCTTAGAACCCTGATGTTGGAAAGCCCCGATGCCACAATGCCACTAAACCCTAAACCCTAAAAGCCCCTCAAGCCCAAACCCTCAGCCCTCCCCAGCTCGACCCAGTCCTACACCGCATGAAGCGGTACCATAAGCCGTCTCCTGAAGGCCGTTTTCCCTTCATTACGAATGAAAATGTGTCTGCGAGTGTTGGGATGTAGGGTTTAGGGTTTATGGCTAGGGTTTTTTGGTTTTTTCGACCATCTGAGGACTCATGGTCTCCTTACCCTGTTAATTATGACATATAAATACATACATATGCAAATATATATATATATATATAGATAATATATATATATATATATATATAATGCGCATATATATATATGTATATGTATGTATGTATGTGTGTGTGGTTGTTTGTTGGAAACATATGTACATACATATTTACATAAGTTTATATGTATATCTGTTTACACACTTAATTACGCGTGTACACATTCGCATATGCGTATGTATATGTACGTGTGTTATTCTACACGCGAATCTGTGTGTTGTTGGATTTCTTGGTCTTAACTTGCTTCACGTCCGGTCTCGGATCTCGCTGGGATTTCGCTGGTTCAGATCACTTGCACATTCGCCTCCTCCTCGACTTGTCCTCAGCCCAAACAATCCAACATGAACACTGGAAGCAGGAATTCTTCTTGGGCTGCCTGAGATTCAGTGGAGCTGTGTCTCGGCTCGGCGAGCATTTCGTATCATGATGAGAACGAGCCCTAAACCCGAAACCCCAAACCCTAAACCCTAAACCTAAACCCTTGACCCCTAAACCTGCGCGAAGCAATGGACTCACTCGTTCGGGGTGTATGCTTGTGCAGGCCGGGAGCTGGGTTCGTAGAGTCCATCTGGAATAGTAATGTAAACCCAAGCCATCATAATTCGAATGTTCCCCCTTATACTGACAGTCCTTAATAGGTATTGAACAAAGGGGGGGGGGGTACTAGAAACCCATCCCAAATCACAATGGCAATAACGTGATACGAATAGTAACCAGGATAACAAAACCATTTTGGCCGTAAATCGGAGCGGAAATCAAAATAACCATTCTACTTGGAGGTTCATGGGCACTTGTAGCCCCAATTAACTGTACTTATAAACCCCCTAAGTCCCCTAAGCAGGTTATAAGTAGACTTATAAGTGGGGTTATAAGTACCCATGAACCTCCAAGTAGCGTTAGTAGCGAAGAACAGTAAGAATGGTAAGAATCGCTGTCGTTATAGTGAGAGGCTTGCAGCCATTCGTTGCAGATGAGTAACAGTCCCGCTCGCTGCCTATGATCTCTGTCTTTCCTTAGATGTCCTTGTGGAAACTGACGCTGCGTGAGCATAGCAAAGTCATGTCAGATTGGTGTTGTGCAGAAGAAGACTTGTCACGTATCAGGTGTTTTCTCGAAGGTCCTCTGCAAAGATGGCATGTAAAGCGCACCACATGGTCACCACCTCGCACGGGCTGCAAAACTTGCACGATTAGCTATACAACCTGCGTAACTACTCCCAAACCACAATCCCAACGAGAGCATTGACCCGCATCACGATGTCAGGAAATCAGGAGGGTGTTTACGATATTCGGGAGGGATCCTTTTTTGGGAGTCTAGTTTCGGGGTCCCCTGTTTTCGGAAACCCCAGGTAGTAGGCTTTGGCCACTTTCCCGGTTTGAGGCCAAAGGGGTTATTGAGCGGCTACCTAGGTATTCAGGGACTATATAAGGTGTTTGTAGCGGCTATTTGAGGGAATAAGATTAAGGGTCCCTTCTAGGGGACCCTCCTTCTACCCCTGAACAACCTTTCAAACCCTAAACCCTAAACCCTAAACCCCAAAGCCTCCTTAGCGTCACCAAGATGCTTTGAGGCCAAAGCCATGGATGTGGGCAAGCTGATTCAAGACCAGACTTGGCTCATCCGCAGCCAGGGACGCTTCCAGAGGTACATGGACACCTGCCCGCAAGGTTGCAGCATTTTAGGGTTCAGGGTTTAGGGTTTGCGGTTTAGGGTTTAGGGTTAAGGGTTTAGGGTGTAAGTTGACTGGTTAGGTCGGTAAGAGTCTCTGTTGAGCTCTTGCATTCCATTTGGCCTCAGTGGTTTCAGCTTGGCTGGCGCGTCAGAGAGCTCGGTTTTGAACTAAAAGGCTTTGGCTTAACTCAGGACATCTCAGGACCCAAAGTGGGCCACTGTTCCTTTTTCCCAGGCTGAGGTTCCCTTGTAAGCCCCTTTACGCCCAGAAAGGGCACCCTTGTTATTCCTAGCTTACTCTTGAATTTGGGCACTTTTGTGAACCCTCGCACATTCCTCTCCGATGTTTTCTGCGAGGGTCTACATCCCAAGACCCTCTGCACCCCTCTTGGAGGTTCATGGGTAGTTCTAAGTGCAGACCCAAGCACCTTCCAAGGAAGATGAGCTCGTGAATTTTAGAGATGACCTGGCAACTTTGAGGGATTTCATCAGCTCCGTCTCCAGGGGCGTCTCTTGTGCTCAGCTCTAAGATGTCGGGGCAGCTTCGCGGATAGGGTTTAGGGTTTAGGGTTTGGGGTTTAGGGTTTAGGGTTTAGGGTCTAGGGTTTAGGGTTTAGGGTTTAGGGGTGTCCTAACGACACGTTGCCTCCCCGTTCTTCTCGGGTCTGGCAGTGCGACGACTGTCAGTGTTTGAAATTTTTCGATGGACATGAACGCCGATGTGTGATGAAATCACCACCAGGGCGTTACCCTTAGGCTCAAAACTGGCTGGTTCTTTGTAGGGAATGAGGGAATGAGGTACCCTGCATAATCCCTTAAAGGGTATACATAAGGGCCCCTAATTCCCTCATTCCCTACCAAGAACCAGCGGGAAAAGTGCTAGTGTGCTCACAGCCGATGCTATGATAGCGTGGGCACTTTTGAGTGTCTCCGAAGCGGTTTAGGGTTTAGGGTCTAGGGTTTAGGGTTTAGGGTTCAGGGTTTAGGGTTTAGGGTTTAGGGTTGGGGCTTCTCGTAGGTGTCTATTTTTTTCAGATACATCGATGCGGTCCCTGCAGCCCGCATGAAAATGATTTGTGTTTAGGGTCTATAGGGTCAGACACTAGAAGTCCTGGGTTAAAGAAGGGTTTAGGGTTCAGGGTTTAAGGTTTAGGGTTTAGGGTTATGGAGCCAAACTGCAGTACGACACAGCTGTTCTACCATGTTGACAACTGTTGTGGCCTCCCTGCTTAAGTAGGGGTGTGAAGAGCCTGAATCAGGTTGTAGGCGTTTAGGTCTATATAGCGACCTTGTTGTAGTCCTGCGTATAAGTACCCAGTGAACCTTCAAGTAGTCCACCCTAAACTGTAAACCCTAAACCCTAAGCCCTAAACCCTAAACCCTAAACCCTAAACCCTAAACCCTAAACCCCAAACCCTAAACCCTAAACCCTAAACCCTAAACCCTAAACCCTGAACCCTAACCCTAAGCCCTAAACCCTAAACCCCCCCAGCCTTACACGCCGCAGGGCTTTGCAGCAAGGATCGCGGGGATGCCTTGGATTTAGCTGTTTGTCAATTATGATCCCTATTGTAGTACGGCACCGAGTATTTCGGGTAGCCCAAAAGGGATCATAATTTGGCAGAAGTTTTCACTCGGTTTCACCCTTCGAGAGAATGACCTCGCTTAAGAGCCCCACCCCCCCCCTCTCCCGGGGAAAAAATAAGAAGAATATTCTGCCTTAGAAGGGTAAGAAAGGGATCATTATGTCGTTTGTTTTTTTTGGGGAGGCGGGTTCTTAAGCAAATAGTAAAGACAAGGCATGACGTGCGCCCCTTGCAACGCGAAGAGCTTGAGTAATCTGCATTATACAGCTCAGCGCAGTGTTCGCGGGGAATGAGGGCCTGAGGGGCGTTGTCCATGCTAGACCCGCGAAGACTATCTAGACTATCTACTATAGGGGTCGGAAGAAGTAGTAATGATATTCCCTTCTGGCCCCCTTGTATTCATACTATAATAACCCCCAAAACTCTATTCTAATTATTCAGGCCCCTCTGTTAGATGTGCAAGTTGGGATAGAGCTGCTGTAGACCCTGAACCCTGGGTCAGTGACGGGGATATATGTATGAATAGATCTCTTTTCTCCGTATATGTATATATATATATATATGCATACACATGTATATGTGATATACGTAAGGCAGTATTGTTTGACATATCAGATATCATTATACTACCCTAACTGTCGAGTCGGGGGTGCTGCTGTAACGTGGCCATGTTGTCATGCAGATCATGCCCGCGAATTTGCAAGCGCTTCTTACTTAAGGACTGTGTAGGGAACCTTTAACCGTTTGGTTATATGGAATCCTACTATATGAAATTGTACAACCTTTTTTGTGCCAGGGTATTGGCCCTTAAGCTGAAGTGATGCATCTGTAGCGAGGACATGGGGGAAGTGCATGCCTTTGTCACCTTACCTGGAATTTTCAATGCGAAACACGGCGCTGCTCAGCGCACCTTTTCTTGACCTGACGTTCGCCAGCACCAAGCAGTAACATCAGCAGCAAGAGGTGGGGGGTGGTGTTAGCCCCTAAACCCCTAAACCCCTAAACCCTAAACCCTAAACCCTAAACTGTTAGGGTTTAGGGGTGTTTAGGGCTTATGGCCTCCAGCCTGAGATCCTGCCCCACGTTGCTCAGAAGATTGACTTAGTTTGTTTGAATGCCAGAATGGACCGGAACGATGGGCCCCCAGCATGGCATCATTCATTATTTATGCGGTTTGGGGTCTATAGGGTTTAGGCTCCACAGGGTTTACAGGGTTGGTTCAGGGCCTCTAGGTTCCAGGGTCTGTAGGGTTTGGGACCGTTAGGGTTTAGGACCTTGAGGGTTTAGGGCCTCTAGGGTTTGGGGCCTTTGGGGTTTAGGACCTTAACCCTAAACCCTAAACCCTAAACCTCTAGGGTTCGTAGGGTCTAGCCGAAGTTCGCCCAGGCACTCCTCAAAACTCAGGAGATCGCAGCAGCAACGACATGACACTGTTCTTATGGGGTCTAAGGACGGACCCCTAGAAGGGACCCTTAATCTTATTCCCCTACATAACCATATATATATATATATATGTTTGTATGTATAGAGAGAGAGATAGATAGATAGATAGATAGATAGATAGATAGATATGTATATATGTATATACATCTTATACAGTCCCCTATTTGGCTAAGTAGCCCCTCAAATAAAGCCACGAAGAACCCCTAAGATCCATCAGAAGTTCCCCTCCTTTCGTCCCTTGATGTTGTGTTCCGCAGGCTGGTTCAGGGCATCGACCTTTCTGAACATGTTGAGGCCTAAAGGCTTCTGCGTAGTACCTTTCAGCCCCTTTTTAGGGTTTAGGGCTTAGGGTTTAGGGTAAGATGCTCTACCCCACTATCCCTGAGGCTCCCAGGACTCTTATTTCAGGGCTTTTGGGCCCGGAGGCCTTCTTTTATAGGGCTTTTGGGCTGTTTTGAGCCTAAGGGTATGATTAATCCAAAAAACGAAATGCAGGAGATCAAGTTGAGATAACTTAGCTAGGTAGGCCCTGGCGGGATGTTGTTTTTAATTATTTCCCTTATTGAGTTTAAGAGGATCTTAGGAATCTTTCGCAGTGGGTTGAAAGGGCCAGCCTAGTTAGTAATGGCAGAAGGTTTTAGGGTTTAGGGTTTAGGGTCGTTTGGGGTTTTGACCTTCAGGCCCACACTCCTAGGGAGAGCATTCCAGTTGCCCTGAATCCTGATGCAATGACGGCCGAGGCGGGCTAGTGGTGTTCCAATGTCCCCTTAGTTCGGGAATATTGCTCATGGTCACTATGTTACCAGATTTCAGGGACTGTTGGAGTTTCTGGGGTCCAGTGTCTTGGCACATTGGGCTTTGGGGACGGCAGGATGTTTGATGTTTAAGTCTTCATGACTCGCACCCACCCGGCCCCTAAACCCTAAAACCCAAACACCCTAAAGCCCACCCCAAAACCCGGAAACCCTAAAGCCCTAAACCCTAAACACTAAAACCCTAAGACCCCAAAAACCCTAAACCCTAAAGTCCTAAACCCTGAAGCCCTAAATCCCCAAAGCCCTAAGCCCCTAAACCCCAAATCCCCAAAACCCCAAAACCTGAACCCTAAACCCTAAACCCTAACCCCTAAACCCTACACCCTAAACCCTAAACCCTAAACCCACACCTTGGAAAGAGGCCCTGTAGACCCACCTAGAGCCGAGACACCCTGGCCCCCTACGCAGGGGTAGGTTTGGAACCTTTGGTTCCATCTTAGTTCACCTTTGGTCCCTATACAACCCGTATGGAGCCATGAGCTTTTGTAGTTGCAATTACCCTGAATCCCTATGTCATCCTTATAAAAAAAAGTTTTGTGAGTCTTATAGGGCCTAAACCCTGAACCCCAAACCCCAAACCCCAAACCTCAAACTCCAAACCCGAAACCCTAAACCCTAAACCCTAAACCCTAAACCCTAAACCCTAAACCCTAAACCCTAAACCCAGCAAACTCCCCGGGACCCTCCTGTCAGGCCCCAGATTCTCAGAGGCAGCTCTTGGCACAGGAGCTTACGCGGCTGCTGGTCACCGTTTAGGGTTCAGGGTTTAGGGTTCAGGGTTTAGGGTTTAGGGTTTAGGGTTTAGGGTTTAGGGTTTAGGCGGGTGGGTTGGAGGACTTGCTCTCTTACAGGCCCTGTTTCGCAAGGTCTTGGAGATGTAGGGAGGAATTGGCGGGTGTGTGGGGCTCTTGATCGGCTCGCGTGCTTGCCTCGGCGCGAAGAATCAAGACTGGGTTGGAGGTCTGCAGACCATTTTTGGTGTCGTAGATGTGGAGGTTGGCTTCAAGCGTCCGGATGCTGGCTTCTGTTCGGGTTGAATCTGTGGTTGGCGTGCTATGACTGCCTTGGCGGGATTTTCTTTGCATGCAACCGAAGTCGAGTCCTTGGTTTTGCTGGGCAAACTGCTGAAAGTATAGCCACCGGCACCCTCCCCGACCTCAAGCCCTACTGGCTGGTTCTCAGTAGGGAATGAGGGAATGAGGTACCCTCTAGAACCCCTTAAAGGGTATATGTATGTATATATATATATATATAGGGCCCTCATGCCCTCATTCCTACTAGGAACCTGGGGGGACTCAACAATTGCTGGGGTCAAAGCTTAGTACTCTGAGCCGACCGAGGCTAGTAGACACCTTGCACGAGCACCACGAGCACCTCCTTAAGAGGTTCGACCATCAGGACGACTTGCTAAATCAGGTGCTGCTTCTTGGCTTTACTACAAGTTTAGGGTTTAGGATTTAGGGCAACTAGGACCTAGAGAAGGCCCTTATTCCCTTTTTTTTTTTTGGGGGGGGGGGGGGTTTAGGTTGTCTTTCAAGCCCCTTTATGCAGGGTACCATTTTTTTTGCCTGGGTTCCTCTCGAGACAAGCCTAGGGTGCGTGTAGCCGGGTGGGCTATTACATTGAACCTTCAAGAGGGCGAATCCCAGCTACGTATCATTACCAGCGCTATCCCCTTAGAACCCCTACGTGATGATAATGTAGGCTACCCAGCTATCCGTTCATACCTTCTCTCCTGAAGCGGCTCCTATACAGTAGAGGGTACTTGGAGGTTCATGGAAGGGTTATAAGTAGGGCAACAATGGTTATAACCTTACTCAGGGTACTTCTGACCCTACTTATAAGTACCCCATGCTCCACGTCGTATGGTGCTTGTGCCTATGCGCTTAACCCTAAACCCTAAACCCTAAACCCGAAATCCTAAACCCTAAACCCTAAACCCTAAACCGCAGCCGACGGGCGTTGGGGTTGCAGGGTTCAGCGCATACTTAGCTGGGCCTTGCTTTCGGGGCACCAAAACCTAAAACCCTAAAACCCCAAACCCTCAGCCCTAAACCCTAAATCCTACACCCCAAACCCGAAACCCGTGGAGCTTCCTGAGGTACAAGCCAGCAGCATCTCCCCCCGCGCCGCGTGCCACGCACTTGCTGGCACCACCGACGCCGACCGGGCCGACCCCTGGACCTCACTTGGATTGGGGCTTGTAGGGTTTAGGGTGCATATAGGGTTTAGGGTTTGGGGGTTTAGGGTTTAGAGGGTCAAGGGTTAATTACATAGAGTTTGTAGGGCTGAGTTTGATGGTCCGTACTCGGGCTTTAGGGTTCGTGGGCCCACCCTAAACCCTAAACCCTAAACCCTAAACCCTAAACCCTAAACCCTAAACCCTAAACCCTAAACCCTCCCTCAAGCGCTAAACGCGGTAGAGGAAGGGTGAGTAGGGCCGACTCTCGGGTTCCCCCCCCCCCCGGGCTTCACTGTTTTTTGATGCGCAGCTGCGGGCTCGAGGTGGGATGAAGGAGATTGAGGGGTTTAGGGTTTAGGGTTTAGGGTTTAGGGTTTAGGGTTTAGGGATGTCGGTGGTTCTTCCTTCTCTCTGCTTAAGACCCCCCAAAAACAATTAGAGGATAATAATCCCGATATTGCCCTTAATTATGACTGGTTATAACCTTGTTTTAAGACCCCCGCAAAAAACACAGGATAACAATCCTAAAGTGCCCTTATAGGGACGAATATTTCTATTTTGTTTTTTTTTTGGGGTGGGGGGGGGGGAGGCGGGGGAGGGTTCTCAAGCAACACGTAGCTTCGTCTTTCTTTCCAGTGAATTCTACCATTCTGGTGTTGTGTTCCAAGAACCAGGATGAGTTAAACCCTAAACCCTCAACCCTAAACCCTAAACCCTAAACCCGCCGCTTTTCTTGATGATCCTGTCGGTGGCCCTGATCTTGCGGTATGGCAACTGCAAAGCAGCTTTAGAAGGGCGCTGCTGCCAGTGTTCATGAGTCCGTGAGAGATTTAAGGTTCTAGCGTTCACCCCTAAACCCTAAACCCTAAACCCTAAACCCTAAATCCTAAACCCTAAACCCTAAACCCTAAACCCTAAACCCTAAACCCTAGGGTTGATAGGGTATATAAGGTCTAGGAGACAAGGCTTGGAGGGCCGCAAGGAGTCCACCGAGATGTCAGGCTTTGTGTGGAACAAGAGCTCTCTACACCGGCATGGTTTAGGGTTTAGGGTTTAGGGTTTAGGGTTTAGGGTTTAGGGTTTAGGGTTTAGGGTTTAGGGTTTAGGTCTTGCCCCACAGGAATCGGGGATGATCTAACCGCTGCTGTTTTCGGCGCAGCCCCAGCAGAAAGAGCACTTCTTGCCTGAGTGTTCGATGATGACGGCTCGCAGCTGAGTTTTAACACTTTGATGTCCTGGAGTCCTGAACCCCGAATATAAACCTTAAACTACTATTCGCTAAAGAACCTGCAAAAAACAAAAGAAATGATCCCTATGTTACCCGTATAAGGAAGATTCTTCTTCTTCTTCTTCTTATATATATGTATATATATATATACATGTTTTTTGGGGGGGGTTCTTAAGCAACTCGTAGTAAGTGCCCTTGGAACAAGGACCAAAGTCCCAGCTCTGCCACAGCCGGACGCGCAAGCGACGGATGCAGAGACGTCTAGCAGACGCTCGACATCATCCTAAACCCTAAGCCCTAAACCCCAAACCCTAAACCCTAAACCTCAAACCCTAAACCCTAAAACCTAAACCCTAAACTCAAACCCTAAACCCTAAACACTAAACGCAGGGACCTGCCCTATGGCTTTGAGGACTTGTTTGTTAGGTTTCTTAGGGCCCAGGCCTTCAGGTTGCTGAGTCATTTTGAGCCTAAGGGTTACCACTACTTTTTGAGAACCCCCCCCCCCCCCAAAAAAAAAACACACACACACACACATATATGTATATATACATATCATAATAATCATAATAATAGTAATTATTATTATTATTATGATGATGGTTATTATTATAGTAACATTAATAACAAGAAGAACAAAACCAAAATCCCTATGTAGGCGAAGCTGGACTCTCTAGGTGCAAATTCCAACTTGACGGCACAGTCAGGGATGCTGAGTGGTTTGGGGTTCAGGGTTTAGGGTTTAGGGTTTAGGGCTTAGGGTTAGGGTTTAGGGTTTAGGGTTAGGGTTTAGGGTTTAGAGTTTAGGGTTGTCATAGGGTCTAGGGTATCCAGCGAGACTACATTTCCCCCCTTTTTGTGTGCAGCCGGCCCAGATGGCGGTGGTTCGGTCTCCCTGGCGGTGGCATCCCGCGACCCCGGCGCGTGCGCCCGCAGTCATTTTTGTTGGTCTAGGGTTTAGGGTTTAGGGCGCATGAGCCCGAAACCCGAAACCCTAAACCCTAAACCCTCAAGTTTAGCCCTAAAGCCTAGGGTTTAGGGTGGGCAAAAGCCCGAAAGGACTGGGAGTCTAGGGACCTATGGCAGCACCGTTTGTTTGACATGGGCGTCTTGTTGGGACCGGCTTTCGCGGATTCTTTGCCAGGTCTTCGTAGCTGAATCACTTTACATTGCTTTACACTTTTGGGGGGACTATAATCCGCTATAGAACTGAAGGTGTATATTGTTTAGGGGCTTATGAACTCAGCAAATAAGAGATATCTTTTGGTAACAGCTCACCCGACTGTGAGAGAGTCGAACCCTAAACCCTAGACCCTACAAAGCCTATACCGTAAACCCTAGGCCCTAACCCTATAAACCCCATACCGTAAACCCTACACCCTAAATCCTAAACGTCATAAACCCTAAATCCTAAACCGGACAGGTACAAAGGTTCTGAGCTTTCGAGCTCGGTTCCGCCAGTGCCTTTGCGATCTTACACGGAAGAGGACGTTCTGGGATCCAAAGGGTGTGTGGGTAGATATTCGATACCAGCGTAGCGAGCTCGACGAATGAATGCTTGGACTTGGGCAAAACAACTGCCTCACTTGGGTCATTAAGGTGTATATGTGCATATGAAAGAGAGGGTTTGGGGCTTAGGCCACAAAGCAGTTAGCCCTCATAAACCCTGAAATCTAGGAATCCTGCACCCCTAAACCCTAAACCCCAAACCCTAAACCCTAAACCCCAAACCCCTAAATCCTATTGCCCAAACCTAGGAATCCTACACCCCTACTACCCCCGACAACTACTCGCACGTTGGCAGGACTTGGCGCTTCGCCTCGGGGCTGTGCTTCGGACCACATGTTAGGGGTTGGGATGTTCCCCCTTATACATACTAACAGTGGCTGTGGTTTAGGGTTTAGGGTTTAGGGTTTAGGGTTTAGGGTTTAGGGTTTAGGGTTTAGGGTTCAGGGTTCAGGGTTCAGGGATCAGGGTTCAGGGTTAGGGTGTTCCCCCTTATACTAACAATCCTGAACAGGGATTATCGTACCCCGATTATAATCCTTGTTAGTATACCGGGGAACATCCGAGTTGGGGGAATGGTTTTTGGGGAGTTCGAACTTTTAGGGTTTCAGGAGTTTAGAGGTTTGCTCCAAATGCAAAAAGGTCCAAGTCATAAACTCGTAGCCTAGTACCCAAGATTGTCCGTCGTAGTACTCGCCAGTTTTCGGGTACCAAACTTATAGGATCCTCAAGAAAGGGGGTTCATGGGGGTCCAGGGTTGAGTAAACCATTAACCTAGTTTTCTCAGCATCAAAAGCTAATCTGCGTGAACCTTGATGTTGGCGCTGAGTCTTGGTAAGCTGGAGAGGGATGGATGGGGGTGATCTTACATATCGATAGCTTTCAGAAGTCGACCTTCGAAAATGCCTCACCAGAAACAGGGGTTTCTAATGCAAAACAACGCTAACTTCAGCAGCTCTCCTTTCAGGGCGTTTCCACGGTGGCGTAAGTTGCAGGTTGAGGGCCGGTAAACCTCAAAACCGCCATCCATTCTCTGAGTTTAGATCTAAAGTAACCCTAAACCCTAAACCCTAAACCCTAAACCCTAAACCCTAAACCCTAAACCCTAAACCCTAAACCCTAAATCCTGTTCTGTGTGTCACCCGCAAGCCTACAAGGACGACGCAGAGTCGAAGTCACTGCGCAAGCGATTCTCTGATCGCGCGGAAGATCAGCAAGATGGAAGCATCTCGAAGATCCCTGTACGCAAGAGGTTGTGGTTTAGGGTTTAGAGTTTAGGGTTCAGTGTTACTTCAAATGAGGCAAACATGACTATGGCTCGCACACAGGCATGTGTTCGACCTTTAGTTGTGACAGAATTTGGTTGTGTTGTTGCATTGCGCTTCGCATCTCTGTGTGTGAGTGTGTGTGTTGAGTGTGTGTGTTGAAGGGCTGCATCAACTGATGAAGGAGCTGTTCGTTTCTATTGCACGATCACATTGGACGATAGACGGCTTGTTACTAGTTAGTGCCCTGCGATGCAAAAGATGCCGACGCTCATCTTTGGGGACTAAATGAGACAAATCCCCACCTGGAAGTACATTGTGGTACTGATTAGTCGGGCTTCTAGTTCGTTTTTGGGCGCGTACAGCCCGACTTCTAATTACCCATGAGCTTTCGAGTAAAAAGGCTTATGACCCAGTGAGTCCACCCTGCCCTTTCCTCATTTGGTTGGGATGAGCAGTTGCAAAATCCGTTGGGGACAACTGCACCCGCACACCAGCGAACTGTACTCCACTCGCCTGCTACGGAAGCATAGACACGACCCAACTCCCGAAAGTACCGCCTAGTTAGGGACTTTAGGGCCCAAGTACGATAATGAGGTACACGGACCTTTAGGGACTTAAAAGAAAACAATGGACTTGCCGAGCCAGCCGGTCTCAAATCAGGATGTCGGCAGAGTCGGCACATGAAGCGTTTTGACTTTAAAAAAACGCTGTGCCAGACCAGTCGAAACCCATCTCGCGAAGCTGGTTGCCTCTTGAACTTACTAGTGGGTGCACTGGCATAAGCACACGGTCTTAACCCTTAACCCTAAACCCTAAACCTTAAACCCTAAACCCTAAACCTTAAACCCTAAACCCTAAACCCTAGCTTGAACAGCCTTCGTCTAGATCAGAGAGTCGCGTGCCGCTCACGAGGAGGCTGGAAGAGCAGACGGCGCCGTGGGCAACAAGAATCGTACCTTAGTAGCCCAGTGGTACCCTTTGCCCTGTTTTTTTGGTTATGGGTTCCCTTATAAAGTAACTAACCCAAAAAAGGGTGCCCTTATTGTAATATGGTTACTGGGCTACAAAGGTACACAACGGACTGTTTGACATCTTCTTTGCTTTTGTCGTTGTGGCCAACGCCGTTTACATCGGTTTTGATGTGCAGAGAGTGTTGGATGGCGGAGAAGAGGAAGGTGCACGGCCTATGAGGCCCTTGGGCTTCAGCATCTTTCACTACATCTTCTCCGTTCTGTTTCTTGGTAGGTTTAGGGTTTAGGGTTTAGGGTTTAGGGTTTAGGGTTTAGGGTTTAGGGTTTAGGGTTTAGGGTTTAGGGTTTAGGGTTTAGGGTTTAGGGTTTAGGGTTCAGGGTTCAGGGTTTAGGGCTTAGGGTTTAGGGCAAAATGGGGTCGCAGGAAGGCTCTGCTATCAGGTTGCCGGCAGTTTCCCAGTCCGTGCTCAAATACGGGCTGTTTACGTCCTTTCTTTGGTAGCCCAGTGCTGCCCTTTTGTCCCCATTTTTTGCTTCTGGGTCGGGTTCCCTTCCAGATAACCAGCCCCAAAAACAGGTATCCTTATTGTAGTATGGTTACTGGGCTACCAAGATCAAGGGACTAAAGGAGGGACCCCTACAAGGGACCTTAGGGGTTATTTAGGGGCTGCTTAGGAAGATAGGGGCCATATAAGACTACTTTAATATGGATACTGGGCTACAGTTCTGGTTGAGCCTAAACCCTACACCCTAAACTCCCCCCCCCCCCCCCTCCCCCTTCCCAAACAAAAATAGGTACCCTTATTGTAAACAAAAGTACCCTTATTGCATTCTGGTTACTGAGCTACTAAGGTTTCTGGCTGAGCTTCTGCTGCGGCTCATGGACAGCCGCTGTCGATACTTCTGCTCCGAAGACTGGGCGTGGGCCCTCCTGGATACGCCACTTGCTTGGCCCTTGTTGCATGTGCTTCTAACCTTTCTGCTCTTGGGTGGAAGAAGCGTAACAGCAGCAAGGCTCATCCTAAACCCTAAACCCTAAACCCTAAACCCTAAACCCTAAACCCTAAACCCACCAACCGTAGGCTAATTGTGCTGACATCTTGGTGGGACATCTTTGTGGACATCTTGGATGCCGTGCTGCAGGATGATCGCTTGGAAAGCATCTCGGGGCTGAGTACCCTGAAGGCTATGCGCATCTCGGTAGGCCTTTTTGGGATCTTTTTTTTATTTTCCGTCTAGGGTTTCGGGTTTAGGGTTTAGGGTTTAGGGTTTAGGGTTTAGGGTTCAAGGTGGTTTAAGAGGATCATGGTCTTTTTCAAGAGGGTTGTAAGTGCCATCCTAGGCATTGTTCGGTTGACGCGTGTGTTGAAGACCGCCCACTTTCTGCGAATCTTTCGGTTCATTATGGCCCTTCGGATGCTGGTGCAGTCGATCTTACACACCATGAAGGCTCTGTTTTGGGCACTGCTTCTGTTGGGCCTGATTGTCTACGTCTTCGGGATACTTTTTGCTCAAGCAGCTTACGACTATGTCAGTGACCCGGCAAATCCAGCTTTGCCTCCGGAAGTACAGGAGAGGTACGAACGCTACTTCGAGAGCCTTTTGAAGAGCATGCTGGCCATGTTCATGAGCATCACCGGTGGCGTGAGTTGGGAGGAGGTCATCACCCCCTTGATGTACGTCTCACCCTTCTGGCCGGCTTGCTTTGTTTTCTTCATTGCCTTCTCATATCTGGCGGTGTTGAACGTGGTTACAGCTGCCTCTCATCTGTGCAAGGAGCGATACATGCATTTCCCACAATGTGGGTATATCCTTGATGCACCCCAAAATGCTCCAACCTTTATCGTAATTGCAGCTATCCCAAAACAGGTAGGTGCCCTATTTGGTTCATTGGCATTGGGATTTCGCAAGAATGCTGGTTTCCACCCTGTGCGGCCGCGAGTGCCGCACGTGAACTTGTGTGCATGAACCCAGAGACTCCAATAAAACCCTGAACCCTAAACCCTAAACCCTACACCCTAAACCCCAAACTAAAGAGGATCCTTGTTGCAATGTGAGAAACGTCCCCTAGTCACGGGACACTGGGGTCGTTGGGTTTCTTTGTTGGCGGGGAAGTTTATGGCAGCTGCTGGTATTAACCATGGGTTTAGGGTTTAGGCTTTAGGGTTTAGGGGCAATTATAATTTTAACTGTACTGTACCTATATAACTGTACTTAGAACCATATTTGGGCACTTAAGGGGCTTCTAAGTGGGTTAGAAGTCCAGATACAACTGGCTAACAAGAAGTGGAGCAAGAAAGCCAAGGTCTTCTGCCAGTCAGCCATCGAATCTGCCCAGAATGACCACGCGACAGTCATCCAGAACATGCTGGACAACAAGGAGCAGCACCTTCAGAAACTCAGGTGGAGCCAGGGTTTAGGGTTTATAGGGTTTAGGGCACTCAGGTGGTCAGTTCTCAAAATGAGGGTCCCCCTTTGGGCACCCGAAAGAACAGGGGCCGTCTTATAATGAGGACCCTAAACCCTAAACCCCCCCCCCCCCCCAAAAAAAAAAAAAAAAAAAAAAAACAGGGATCATGCTTTACAGAAGTGCCCTAAACCCTAAACCCTAAACCCCAAAGCCTAAACCCTAAACCCTAGAAGAGACCAGGTCGCTCTTCCACAAGATCGGTGACTCTCAGGGAGCGGGCATTACGTACCGCATGCCTCTCGTCCGCGAACGCAGGGACTTGAAGATTCACTGGGCATTTAAAAGTTTAGGGTTCAAGGGTTTAGGGTTTAGGGTTAGTTCTCCCACTTGTAACCCTACTTGTAAGTACAGACATACCTCCAAGCAGGCGAGGCAACAGCTCAAACGCTCCCTGCCCCAGAACCTTTCTGGACCCTGTAGACGCCAGCCCTGCAAGGGCCCCTAATCCCATTTCTTTACCCTAACAGCCCTAAGCGCTAAAAACCTTGAACCCCTAACCCTAAACCCTACCCTAAACCCTAAACCCTAAACCCTAAACCCTAAACCCTAAACCCTAAACCCTAAACCCTAAGCCCCTTCTGAGCATCCCCAGGTTCGAAGAGAAGCTGAGCTCTGCCACGGTCCGCGAGTACTTCGAGACCTTGGGCTTGGATGTTTGGGACCCCTGGGCCTTCTTCAAGCTTCCCAGCCGCACACTTTCTGGGGTTTAGGGTTTAGGGTTTAGGGTTTAGGGTTTAGGGTTGATAAGGGTTCAGGGTTTAGGGTTTAGGGTTTAGGCCTTTTGTAAAGACAGCTGGGCTTCCTCAAGCCCTACCAGGAGATTCCGGGGTGCTTCTATGCAGGGTTAGAAGTAATTAACACCCCCCCCCCACCAAAAACAATCAATACATCAAGAATAACAAACTAGAGTTCGGATCAGCCGGAACATATTTAGCAATCGCGGGGTAGCCTGTTTGTTGCAGACCGGTTTCGTTTGAACCCTGCAAGCCCTCAACCGTGAACACGAAAAGCGAGATAGAGCAAGAGATTCCCTAAAGCCGAACAAGCGAGAGAGATCTGCTGGTGACTGCGACCAGTCGCAGCCTTTTGTAGCGAGCTCGCCCTCTTGCCCCTGACCCTGAAACCTCGGAGCCTCGAGCCCTAATCCCTAAATCCCTAAGAACAAAAGCCCGAGATCAAGGGCTGCATCCTCTCAAATCTGAGCCCCAAACCTTGGATGAACCCTAATTAAGAGAGGCTCAACTCAAGGGCGGAGGCCCTCAACCACCCCCAACCCCCCCAAATTCGCAAACAGTCTTAGTATTGGGCAGGGCGCGCCAGAGGCGGGGGGGGGGGGGGAAATATTTTTTTCAAAATTGGGAGGTCTGTTAGTCATAAGGGAGGGAATAGTTGCTATAAGAGGTGGGCCTTGTCAGGAATACTTATTGTAAGCCTACTTTAAGTACCCATGTTATGCGCCTTGAAAGCCCTGCAAATGGGGGGGGGGGGGGGCTTGAGGATTTCGTGGGCGGGTGGTACAAAAGTTGGGGTTAAGGGACTGGCGCCCGCCCGAAAAAATGACAAGGCTTGCGCGGATGTCTTGCTTTTGCAAGTAGCGTTTTTGTGCCCTGCCAAAAGGGAGAGAGACCAATAAATTGCTTGCTTGCGCGCAGACTCGAAGATACATGAAGCAAAGCCCCCAAAGCAGTTGCTCAAAGGAGAACTTGGTGGATGCGCGTCAAACAGCATGAGCTCAGTATTCCCAACATATTGCAGGAGCTTTTGTAAAGTCTTTTCTTAAGCTTGATGTGCTTTTCAACGTGCACGTCGTTACAGATTCTGCAGCCAGATGGCAGAGGCGGCAGAGGATGACGAAGCAAGCCGCTGCTGCTGGCCAGCACGGACTGACCAGGGAAGCGCGAAGTGAGCCCGCGGCTTCCCCTTTCGTTTCGTTGCTTGTGGATGTTGGGCGGTGTGGTTTTTTTCGACGGGGTGCCCGTGCTCACATGTTTAGCTGCGTCGGAATGTTTCGAATACTGTCTGCGTCTTTACGTTGACGTTATCGCCATCCAGGAAGTGGGGCTGCGTGCGAGTGAGGTGCACACATTCATTCACCATGTCAAGAGTAATTAACTGGTTTGTAATATGCCGAGTGCAGGCATGGCCCACGCCAATCTTACGGGGCGCTATGCGGCTTTTTCACAAGCGCCTCAGATCACGCCTTATTGAGGCGTGCTCGTTTGACAATGGCTGGCTGTCACCGTTTTGGTCACAAATGTGGCAATTTTTCACGTCTTACCAGCCCTTGAACAGTCATTTGCTTGACATGCTTATGCTCTTGTCTCCCAACACCCTGGGTGCGTGCACCATTGGTGATCACAACGATGAGCCTCATGAGCACCCCAACGCTGGTGGTCGGGGCCTCCGGCGTGTTGTTTGGCCTGACACCCAGAAGTGGGCTAACTCGTGCGCTGCAGCTGCTGCTGTTGCCTCCGGTAGCTCTTTCTCCTCGGGCACTTGGACTAAGGTTGTGAATCGGCCTGAAGGCGCCTGTGATAGGTGCATCTGGCACTGTGGGCGACTGGGTTCGCTCCACCATGTTAGGTGGCAGTGTCCGCTGCGCCCCGTCAAGCTGTCTTGCCCTCGCAATCCTCTGGTTGCGCGTTTCGGCTGGCGTGTTCAAGGCGCGGACTGTCGCAACCTGCGTAAGGTCCGGGAGTGGTTGGTTGAGACGCAGCTGGCGCTGTGGAAGCACAATCATCCGGGGCGTCCGCCTGATGCTCTGTGATGATTCGGGTTTGTGGGTCCTCTGGCTCCACGGGGTTTGGCTCCGGCCCCCATCTGGTGACACTCGATCCTTCGCTGATCATTTAAGTTGTCGTCTTTGAGGCAAGCATGTCTGGCTGTCTTGTCCACGGCGCTGTGGTATTCGGCACTGCTTGCTGGCCTGTCTTCACTAAGGATCCAGTCTTTGGAGCTCATCTTTCTTCGTCCTCCTCTTGGCGGCGAATTTCCCTCACGCGTGCTTCGTCGAGTTTGCGGCGGAGCACCTCAAAAAGCTGTGTGAGCACCCCATGCTGGATGCTTTTGGCAGTGACAGTTGCGATGCGGTTTTTGCTCGTTCTCCCGATGAGGCTCCCCTGCGTACTAGATGGGGCAGTCACAGATGCATTGACCATGCCTCTACTAGTGCACGTGAGTTCTTGTGCCGACCTCGCATTTGAAGTGAAGCTTTCGCAGATCACTGTCTTTGCTTGTAAATTTCTCTATAAGACCATCCTGATGCCCAAACTGCCTCCTATAACCGCCGCCCTTAAAACCTTTCCTGCCCTATAAGGGTTTCAGTAAAGAGAGGTGGCGCGAAATTTGAGGAATGGTCACGTTTTGCAGCCTTGGACATGCCTGAGGTTGCTGACCAACCTCACACGTCGATGCCCTGTGGAAGGCTCTTTCTTTGCATTGTGCATGCAACCAAGAGAAGAGCTTGTTTGGAGATGCTTGACGATGAGGAGCCAAAATTTGGCTTCAGGCCCAACAAGGGCCATATGCTTCTTGAGAGATCTGATAATGCCCACAGCCCTGAAGGTGAAATTTGTGATAACTTCCGACTTCGTAAGTTACGTAATGCACGGGCCAGGCTTCGAGTAATGCTTAAGCTTGTTCGCTTTGTGAAGGCCAATCTGCTGAGTTTGGTACTCAGTTCGCCGGGGTATCCCTTACGAGTGGCACGTCAGCAAGCTAAGCAAGCTATGTCGCTCCAACGCAGGCAGAGTCACGATTTGCGTGATAGTTGGAGAC